ATTTTACAGCCATGCAGTTGACTGAAAGATATAGAAAACACCAGACTGTATTATTAGTTGACTAAAAAAAAATTCACTTAAATAAAATACTTCCTTAAATCTCTCCTCCTGAGCAAGCATCTCCCATGCAGTTGTCAAAATTATAAAGATACCTTGAATGATGTAACAGAAATAACTATTATTAATAATGTGAGACGTAGAAGAAAGGGACGTGTGCTCACTGGTGATGTTTATCGCCACCATGGGGGATGTCCAGTTCAAAGCAAAAAGAGATTGATTTTAGATAATGAAGTCATCCAGATGTTCCTACATGCAGCTGATAATGTGATGATTGTACAAAGCCATAAAACACTAACCCTAAATGAGACCATAATTTTTTTTAATTTGCTCTGATTTTCCACATACAGGAAAAAAAATGTGGAAAGAGAATGGCTACTGTTCAGTCTGTTAAAGGTAGATAGCTAACACAGAGATCTATCCTTGATAGACACTACAAATGGAAAAGGAGACAGATTCAGAGATGAGCATAAGAAGGAGAGATCCCTGAATTGGATTTAGGAAATTGTAGAGTGTTTTAATGTGCCCCAATTTTCTCCCTGAAACAAAGGCATATTTTTTTGATATCACTGTTCTTCTGATCGTGTATGCTATGGAATATCATGGTCTCTGAAGGCTTAAATCTGAGGGACACTCAGCAGTGGAGAGATCCATGTTCAATGGAATCAGGATGCCACACATTACACATGAGAAATTGCACAGGACAAGTAGTATAAAGAATATCTTTAGAGAGGGAACAAACAGAAAACAAAACAAAACAAGATAAACAAAGATGGGATGGTGACACAGCGAGGGAGTGAGAAATAACCAATGGACAAATTATGTGCTCTAATCCATTTTTATTACCACAATTTCAAGAGATCTAAAGCACATTGGGTGGAACACTGCAGAGCATTCGTGAGAGGATCTGGAAAGAGTAGCACAGGATGAGTAGATATTGATCTTCTTCATGATTGCATGGAGTACCTATGCTGATAAGAACCTATCCATTGAATTATTGTGTATCAATTTTTTATTAACCATTGGCCATTTTTTCAATCAATCAACAAATATTAATTAATTGTTTGCAATGTGCCAGACATTGAATGAGCCACTGGGGAAACAAAGGGGGAAAAATGAAACAGTTCTTGTCTTCAAGGATCTTACCTTCTACTTAAGGAGGTAAATAAATATATCAACACACATACATATGTGTGTGTGTGTGTGTGTGTGTATAAAATTATAAGAAATAAACACAAGGTAATTTTTGTCAGGAGGGAGGAGACACTGGCACCTGGAGATCAGCAAAGTCTTTTTTTGAGAGAGTCAAGATGGTGGAGAGAAAAGAAAGTATTACAGCTAAGGTCCCCTTGACAAAACTCCTCCAAAGAGATCTAGAAAATGTATCAGACCAAATTCTGATGGGGAAGTCTAGAAAAAGTTGCAGTGCATCATTTTTCCAGTTCAGCTTGGCACATACAGTCAGGCATGGATGTCTATGGACAATGGGAATAGGGTTGGGCCAGGAGCACCATCATGCAGTAGTACTCCAGTGCCCAGGGAAAGGCCAAGGATCAGGGCAAGAAGGAGGTCCCAGACTCAGTGCAGGACACCAACAGACTCACACCAGGGATCTGTGATGGGAAAAGGTGTTAACTATAAGCTTTGTCCCTCACTAATAAGTTCAGGGTCACATATCCAGAACAAAGTAAGGAGACCTCATGGGGAAGTCACACAGAAAGGGGATGGGTGGCCTTCCTAATAAAGAGGCCCTATGTGTTATACTATAGCTTAGACAGTTCTCATTCAGTGCAGTTTCTCATGTTTAGCATCTAGCCCAGTCTGCAGAGGAATAACCAGAAGAGGAATTTCAAACCAAAGGGAAGCCTACACTTCTGTCACTTTGAAGCAAAAAAGCTTTGCAGCTAGCTAATAGAGGCTAAGACCAATGGCAGTCTACTCTTGCTCAAACCCAGAGGCAAGTCAGGAATTTGCAGAGCTCAGACTAGAGGGACAGCAGTAAGACTTTGTCCTGAATTAGACCACTTTGGGAGCACTGAAAGCTTTCAGGTTCCTAGCCTGAGATCCTGCTACCCCGCAAGATGCAAACCTCAAGAAAGGAAGTCCAGTAAGGCAAGATTTCAGAGAGATTTTGTTACGTCTTGATGATCTTAAGAAAAGAATGGAAAGAAAGAGTTAGAAAAAGACATTGCAGGGGAGGGGGGAGGAGAAAGAAAAGAAAGCTTAGGGAAAATTATCTTATATGAGGAGACTGTGCAAATAGAAAATCTAGGCAAACAAAGGAAGAGGGTGGGGAAGGGAGTGGCTGACACTTGAACCTTGTCATTTGTATGAGCAAAAGAAAGAACACACACACACACACACACACACACACACACAACCAAGAACCAAGAATTACTTACAAAAATTCATTTCATTCAACAGGAAAGTAGAAAAGAAAGGAAAAAGAGAAAGGGAAAGGGGGGAAGATTTAGAGGGAGGGCACATTCAATGAGGATAAGTTCTAAGCAACATAAACTCCAAGAATATACAAAAATATGTGTAGCTCTTTTTGATGTGGCAATGAATGAGTAATTGAGAGGGTGTCTACAAATTGAAAAAATGTATGGAGAAGATATAAAATGTGATGAAAAACTATTGTGTTGAACTGTTCATGATACTAGAGGACAAATGGAAGAAAATCAGGAAAAAATCCTGATCCAGATAGAGGACTCAAGAATGAGAGATATATTTTTTGGACATGGCTAATGTGGAACTTAACCTCTCTTTGTGCCCTAGGCAGCTCCCTTAAGACTACGAGAAGTTGTTGCTATACGTCAGGGAAGAAAGCCTTGATACCAGGAAGGTCCCTACCCCCATGCTGAGACAAAGCAAAAAAGAACACAATTGCATTTCACAAAATTATTGGCCTAACTAAGTATTAAAACAAATTTCTTGATAAGCTGCATCACTAGTTTTAGCAATAAATATTTTGGCTCATCTGTACAACAAAATACTAAATTTAAATTGGCACCATTAAAATGTGATTTACTCAGGCAAGTTTTCAAATTTCCCCTAACATATAAAACCATTCCAATTGGAAAATCAGTCTTATTTACTTTGCCAAGTTTGAGCATATGTATCATGAATGAGATGGCATTATGTGAAGTGTTCATTAAATTTAGAACTAAATTAACATCATTGAAAAAATCCAACAGCAAATTGGGAAATTGGATAAATAAAATCACAGTTCACTATTTTACCAACATTAGTTGTTCCTCTTGAAAAGCAATTATTTTTTTAAAAGGTTAATGAACATAATTGAAGGACTTTTGTTGACCTCTGAAGAAAACAAAGCTCTTCAGAATTTTTGTAAGGATTTAAATAGTTTTTTTAAAAACATAATTAGACTTTCAACACATTTTGATTTGCTAATTGGATCTAAGTTCTAATTAGACTCCTTATATAACTAAGAATGACATACCACTGAATATGTTTAATGTCCTTTTTCAGTTGAATCTCCATAATATTTTAATATGGAAAATGCAGGATTTGCTTATGTCAAGGACTGTATTTTTCCCCTACTTACAGCAGGAGATAATTCTTTTTTTCCTAATTTAGTATTTTGGGGTTTTGGGGAGCAAAAAATGGGGAAAGTATACAAATTATTTTGTTAAGGAATGTGTTTAGCAACAATGTCTGGAACATAGGCAACATAAACTCCAAGAATCTGTGTTTAGCACGATGTCTGGAACACCACAGACACTTAATAAATGCTTATGAACTGAAGGATTGAAGCCAGGTTTCAAAGTCACCTGCATAACTTTGAGAAATTCACTGCATCTCGCTGGACCTCAATTCCCTATATCCGACCCATGTCTATGATCAAAAGGAACTGGTGAGGGGGCTTACTGACATTTAATACTTTTGCAAAATTATAAACGGGGAAAGGAAATAAATTACCGTAGTCAGAGCACAACAACATAAATAATTAAATGACCTCATAACCATTGAACGAAACTTATCCTTGAGATGGCTAAAGGTCTTTAAAATTCCTATTGAGTGAATGTCCAAAGAGCCAGCAGTGTAGAGAAGCATTGCATTCCTCCCAAGACTTGCATGAAAATATTCCCTTTGCTGCTTGGCTGTCTGAACAGCTTTCCACTGATTCTAGTCACATCACTTTATTCTTATTCCCTGTCTCTGAACTGAGAGCCATCAATTTTCATTCCATCTAGATTTATAGGCACTAATCCTGAAACTAGTAATGCCCAGATTTGGATATTACCAGAGCTAGGTATACAGGGGTGTAAGGAAAGAATATTTTGGAGATTAAAAAGCAGTGAATCATTGAAAGTCCTTAAGGGCAAAGCTCAAGCCAAAGTAACCCCAAGAAAATTGAAAGTCCTGAAACAGAGAAAGTAGGCAAATTGGGTTTCATGTGTGCCGTATATTGCAAATCCTCCAACATCCAAGTCACATGTTCTTTTAATTTGTCACCTGCAAATAGCTCTTTTAATCACCTTAGAAATAACTAGTCTTACTTTTACTATTTTTAGAGAAATGTAAATCTGATTAAAGCGAATATAACTTTTAAAAATCTAATTTTTTCAAGGAAAAAATGTGCTAGAACTGACCCTGTGTTAAAATTATGTGAGCTGTTGTTTTTCTAATTAATGTTATCACTGAGCCCGAATTCTATGAGGGTTATTTGTAAAGATTTCTCATTAGGGTCACAGCCTCATCAACTTTCCTAAAGTGTCTTATACTGACTACTGTCCTTGACTGTACAATATGATGGTATTTAAAGTAAGACAATGGCATGTGTGAAGAAAGAAAGCCTGTTTCTATCCCAATATTTCCAAGACACATCCTATTCCACGCAGTCTTCAGAAAGGTTCATATCCAGGTGACTGCCGTTGTTTGGCAGGCAGAAAGGTGACTAATGGTATTTTCTCTTCTAGCTTGGCTGCTGGAATCCTGTTACGGGTCTGAATGGTTCATTGACAGACAAAAAACTGGAGAATAACATGCGTGGAGTGGTTCTTCGAGTGGTGACTGTTCTGGTAAGCTGAGCTCCAATATTATAAGTTTAGTTTATTAGTTATCTACAAGAACCTCCTTTTCTCTTTCTGAATATGTACATTATCATCTACTAGTGAAATGCAAAGGTATTTGTAACTATACCATTTGCCCAATAACATTAAATATATTTCCAGTGTCCAAAGTATTCTTTTTTATATATTTTAATACACTTAGACTTAATACACAATAAGAAAAGAAAAAGAAACATATTCTAAACTAAAATACTAAAACTTACAAATGAAATAAGAAAAAAACATGTCATGTGCACAGCAGAATGTGAGAAAGGATTCGAAATACATAGCAATAAATTTCTATTTCAAGAAAGCCTATGTAATAAATACTACGCATTGTGTTGAGAGCTGACCATCTTTTCTTTACTTCCTTTCAGGTTTTCTTTTCTTCTCTGCTGTGCACTTTTTACTTTGTTCTTTTTTCCTGTTCCTCCCCCACCCCCAACCCAGAAGGCTACAATTAAGTATGGATATGTTTATATGTAGACATAAATATGTACATGCATACATACATAATACATATATAAGCATATACTTTCCCTAACAATCCTACTCCTGATCTTTGTTTTTATGCTTGTGTGTATTCTCTTTTTATTATATCAATTCCACTGATTTTTGTTAGACCCCCAAGGAAGATTTTCTCCTTTTAGTAGTCTTTCTAAAGAAGTTTTCATTTCTCAAAATTTTTCTCTTAGATATCTATTTATTACATACACTTCATTCTGAGAGTGCCATAGTATCTGTCTATCACCCCAAATAAAATCTGCTAGCTTCTCATTGAAATGCTATAGGATTATGAAATGGAGAGTGCTTTTGACATGATGTTACATTTGCAATATGTTAAAAAATTAGCAGAAAATAAGTACTTAGTTCAGCAAAACCAATTATTTTACTCTTCTTTGTTTCAAAACAGAAAATCCTCCTCTCTCAATAGTAAGAACTCTTGCTGAAATTAACTTGGGTTGTTTTGTGCATTTTATCCTGTGGCCCCTTAGGGTACTTTTCAAAATGTCTGACAGTTCAGCATGAATATGTTTTTCTTTTGATTCAGAAAAGCCACATTCTTCTCCCACATCATAAACAAATTACAGAGTTAGTAAATGAGAGAGCCTTTTTCTTCCATGTTGATGCTAATTGGGTCTTCATTAGTGTCTCAATATAACAGCCTTTGTGCTCAATTTCATAGAAATTTAAATTGATTCCACAGAATTTCCTCATGATAAAATCATTCTGTGAACATCCTCTCTCAAAGGAAAGTCAGGATATCCTCTGGTCCCTTTTCTCATCTTCAATAATGTCATTCCTTGGCCATGCACGAGTAAGCTTTTTAAGAAGCATTCTTCTGTCAAACAATTATGTTTTTAACCTGCTGTGATATTGATGCTAGCACATCTAAACAAACATGTGTATAAATTTGTACTGATGTGGTGATAAATTACGCATTCCCAAAATAGTAGTAAAAGCTCATCTCCATTAGCCAGGTACATTCATGACAGAGGTAATACTTGGAGGGGTTTTTTTTCCTTTTAAAAATATTTCTAAGGGCAGCTAGGTGGTGCAGAGGATAGAGCACTGGCCCTGAAGTCATGGGGGCCTGAGCTCAAATCCAGCCTGGGACCAAACACTTGACACTTACTAACTGTGTGGCCCTGGGCAGGTCACTTAACCCCAATCATCTAAAAAAAAATTTATAAATAAAACTACAGTCAGTAAAAGTGATCTACCTTTACTCCCATGCCCTAGGGCATCTTGAGAGTCTTAGTGGAGGGAACTGCCCCACAGGTGGTTTGCCCAATATTCTCAAACTCCTTTGGTCTTACTACTTTCCACTAGTTTGTTCAACCTTAAGGTTGGAAGCAAGTTCCAGAACATGGGAATTCTGGGTAAAATCCTCAGTTAGTAGAACAAATACCCCCATCTGATTCTTAGTAGTCATTTTGCACTATAGGGGGGGGAGTCAAAATGTACTTAATATTCATATCGATATACAGGCTACACACACACACACACACACACACACACACACACACACACACACATACACACACTCCTCTAACACCACCCCCTAAACAGCATATATGTATATGTCTTCCTCTAGTAGCTTAGACCTGGATGGGCCAGGATTTCATAGCTAAGTCGGGGTTAAGAAGAGGTTAAGAAGTTGCAGTCTTATAAAGACGTCTAGTGATAAGGAACTTACTATCATCTGAGGCATCCTGCTCTGCTTTTGGATGGCTCTAAGTGTGAGGGGTTTTTAATCTGCCCCAGAAACTTGCACTAATTGTTTCTTGTTCTACTTTCTGGGTCCAAGTGAAGAAAGCCATCGCGTGTCCAAAGTCTGTAGTATCACTGACTGTTGGTCCTCTCTCTTAGGGCCAGGCTTGTTGAATTCCTCCCCAGCCCTCCCCAACCTGGTCTCTTTCCTTTGTTATCATCAGCTCAAGAATCTATCATTTGTGTTGCCTACCCTCCCATTTCTAGGAGCCTAGGAACTAACCTAATAGTGCCATTTAACCACTTGATACTGGTTAGCTTTTACAAATGAATATCTGCTTCAAAGATAAAACAAGAATAAGGTCATAAGCATTACTTTCAGTACCTCATGGCAATAAACTGGGAGGCATACAACTTAGTTCACTTACTAAATAACATTAGTCCCATAAAGTTCAAGTCCAAAGATGGCTTTTGCTGGACTGGTTGGTGTTCTCAGGCTTCTTAAGGCTTTGCTCCTGGGCTGGCTATGCTCCTGAACCTTCTGGTCTCTATAGCTCATGCTCCTGGGCTTCATCAGACCTTATCCCCTACACTTAAAATGCAAAAGAATGAAGGGAAAAGCAAAAGACTCGGGCCATTTCTAAGAGTTATGTCGTCTAAAGAAGAGGGTTAAGAAGGAGATAACTGGGAGAGTTGCACTGGAGCCAATTCTTTACAGCTTAAGAAAACTGATTATTAAACTTTCAGCGAAAGCATTTATACCTTGGAAATTGGCAAGCTTGATTTGTAAATCGAGGCCTGATTTATAATTTTATTTATTCTCTAGAGTAAAGAAAGTGATGGAGAAAATGTTTATAATAAAGATTAAAACTAAAAGTGTATCATTCCATATTCTTTTTTTTTTTGAGGGGGGAGCCAGTTGTTAATCATTTACCTGCACACCCCTGTTTGACCCTTCCCCTTTACTTAATTGCATAAATGAAGACATTCCTTACCTTCCAACAGGAATGCAACAAATATATATTTCTTTTAAAGTTTTGGTAAAACTAGCACATAGTTATTTATAGTAGGTTCTGATAAGTCATCTACTTCTCTGATAAGTCTATTTCTTCAGTGCATCATTAATTTTTGGACAATGTGATTTTCTCATTTTAAAAATCAATTTAGTAAAGATCTATTTATTTTATTCATCTTTTCAAGTAGTACCTTTTAGTTTATCTTATCATTCCTATAGTTTTTTTTAAATTTTATAGTTTATTTCTCATCTAATTTTCAAAATGTCTTTTTCTGTGCTTATATTGGGTTTGTAAATTTGGTTTTAAATATTTATTCTTAAATTCTTTTTTTCTTTTTTTGATAATCTATTTTTCAGAGATATATTTTATCCTCTGAGGACTGTTCTAGTTGTATTACAAAAATTTGGGTGTGTAATTTCATTGTTAAAAACTCTCTTTCACTTAGTTATTTTTTTCTGTTTATTTTCCTTTTTAAACGTACTCATTATTCAAGATGTCATAATTAGACCTCCAGATGCACACAGCTAGGGGGCATAATGCATAGAATTTTGAACTTGGAGTCAGGAAGAACTGACTTAATTTCCTTCTTCAGACACATTCTAACTGTGTGATCTTGGGGGGGAAATGTTTCTTTCAGCCTCAGTTTCCCAATCTGTAAAATGAGGATAATAATAACACTTCATAGGGTTATTGTGAGAATCAAATGAGATAATATATGTACAACTCTTTGTAAACCTTAAAGTACTACTTATAGTGATATTCTTACTATATTATGGGTTTCCTGTATTAATTACTCTTTGCATTATGGACTCTAAAGGAGTTTATTAATATTTCTCTCATTTTATTTTTGTAGCATCCCTTCTGGGCTCATTTTTCTCACCTTCCATTTACATTGGTTGGTTGGGTGCCAGGATTCTAGGGATTATGACTTCTAACTCTATTACTCATAGGTGCCTGTCTGGTGTGCTTACCTGAAAATCAGTCAACCAGTTAGCTTTAACAAGAACAACAAAAAGCAACATCAATTACCTTTAACAAATTTTTTACTGAGGATGAGTAGTAAGAATAGTAGCTACCAAACAATCAATGCCCCCAAATTTGGAACTTCACTCTCCCCTTACATGTGTACACTCTTCAAGCCAAAACTTAATGTACAAAGGTAAATGAGGTCCATGTGTAATAGCAACATGAAGCCAAAGAGTATCTCAGAACACCTCATCTTGGGAGTCCTGCTCTCCCTTCCCCAATTCCCTTTATGTCCATTCTGGGGTTGAGGGATGGGGAAGGGAAGAGTTCAGGATCTGATGTCTTTGGTGATATGATAGATTAATTCACTGAATGCTTGGTTAGATCAATAGCTTTCTTGATCTCAGTGCTGTTGTTTCACAAGGCTCAGCTGCTGCACTCACAGGCTCTGGGATACCAGTTGTTGGTGGGGTCTCAAATGGCTTTAATTGATCTCCTGTTGTCACCAGCCACTGGAGTACTCCCATCTCAGGATACTCATTCTAAAATCAGAAGATAATAGATTTTTTTTTCTAATAGATCCCCAAAACTAAGGAATATAATAAAAGAACCTTGGGTGGAGAATCTCTTCAGTGGGTCCCCATAAATGCAGAGGACCCAATATTTCTCACAGATGAAGCCCTCTATGCAGCACATTTTGCCTCTGGGGTTCTATACCAGCTAATTCTCTAATAGGTTAGGTCCATAAAATGAGAATGCTATTCCCTGTAGATT